CTCGACCTGCTGGGCTCCAGCAATCCTTCCGCCTCAGCCTTCCAAGTAACTGGAACTACAGGCGTGCGCTACCACACCCGGCTAATTTTTTGATTTATTGTAGAGATGAGGTCTCACCAAATTGCCCAGGCGGGTCTCGAACCCGCGGGCTCAGGCAATTCACTCACCTCAGCCTCCCAAGGCGCGGGATTACAGGCTAAGTTGTATATTATTTTGTTCGGTATGTTTTAAAAAGTAATTAACTTTTAAGTAATACTTGGGTTCTATGACAAAAGTGGCATCACAGACTCAGAGTCGTACTTTTGCTTCATGATTGAACTTGAATACATACTTATACTAGACATATTAGAGTGTATTGTTGTGTTTATGTATGTGTTGTCCATTTTTCTGATAGATACAAGAGCAAACCTGATGATGACTATGAAGATCCCAAAGATCTTCAAGCCATCAAAGAAGCCCAGGTGTGTATGGGAGATTTCAATCTGAAGACAGCCCCAGACTACAAGATACCTGAGCACATGAGAATAAATGCTGCTAAGAAAGAAGAGGAACTAGGATACCTGGATTCTTTGGTACCTACCCACAGATTTTTATGACAATGAAAAAGCATCCTGAGTTAATTAAATTCTGCTTAAAACCACCCATTTTCTTATCTGGTCAATAAGAATATATAACCATAGAATTTAGAACTGGAAAAGACTCCCATGATTTTGACGATCTAGAATGTCCCCCCCCACCTTTTTTTTACAAATAAGGAAACTGACGCCGGAGAGGACAAGAGATTTATCCATGATTAGTCAGCTAGTATGACAGACACTATACTATGGCTCAATACCAGTGTCATGGGTAAAGCATTATATTTTGTGAATTTTGAACTTCTTTGAATTCAAACAAATCCTCATTGGATATAGTTGTTGGTTACCATGGACCATGAAGGACTTAGGGGGAAAAGGCCATTGTTTAGCCTTTCTCTGTAGGACTTCCATACTTTTCTAGTCAAGATTAACCAAGACTAACCAATTAACATACATGCTTTTTGACTCTCTGTATTCCTTCAAGCTGCTTTCAATCATCCTGATTTCTTTTTTTTATTTTTTTATTTTTTTTTGAGTTGGAGTCTCACTCTGTCACCCAGACTGGAGTGCAGTAGCTG